TTTGTAAGGATACAGTGGGGCAGAAGTTATCTTTTATTTTTTTTTTGCCCATTCAGAGAAGTCTTTCACATACCTCTTCCTCAAATTTTGTGATTTTCTAATCATGTTTCTTCTAAGTCCCTGACCATCAGCTAAACATTGGTAACAGCTCATGAATTGGTATATAACTGCAGACATGGCCATTTCACCTTCCAGGCAAAATGAACAGCTAGATACACTTTTCAAAGTTCTGCACACTCGGAGTATTTCCCTTCACTGCTGTCCTTTAGATGTATTCCTGAACGGGGCTATAGTACCACAGTTCTATGCTGCCTACATGTTGTAATCCAGTCATCTGTAAACCATGATTAAGTCTCTTTCTGTATCTACTGGTCATAAAGGACTCCTCATGAGACCATGGTGTAGGCTAGGATAAAGAAGATAGTGAAACAGGAGTGGGAAATCATGGACATTTGGTCTATTCCTTCATGTAACTTGAAACATCAGGGCCAGATTGGGCACAATCTCATATATAACTGCTTTCACTTGATCGGGAAGTCCTGCTGTGCTCACTCATCTTCATGTGTGCTGGGTTAGCTAAAACCTGATTGTTGACAGGCAGCTCAGGTTGCATGATTACATTCACTCTCTACTAAAACCTAGAAGCAAACTCGAAGAGCTCTGTCTCAAAAAGAGAGTAGATATCAGCAGGGGATGGTAGATTTTTTGTTTCTCTGCCAAATCCTAAGGACTTGTGCTATGATTCAGCTCTAGGTCCTGCCAAACACAGTTCAAGCCCCATTAGGTCTGTTGGATCATGTGGCTACAACTTGTGTGGCACTTTGGGCCTGCTGCAGAGCCTTCTCTTGTTCTCTTGTTCATTCAAAACCAGCACCTTTTTAGTTGCTGGATCACTCAGTACGTCGGCCAAGGTACAAGAGGAATATGTTGCCTCCAAAATCCAAAGAGGCTCACTATGTTGTGCCTTATTTTGCTTGTGAAGAGGGTCCTGAGCACCAAATTTTTTGCCTTAGAAGGGACATCTTGACATACTCCACACTCCTTGAGCTCTAGAAATTTCAGTGAGTTTGAAGGCCTGAAATTTTTTGTTGGATTTATTTCCCACTTTCTGAAATACGAATCTTAAGTCCAAAGAAGTTGCTGCATTTTACTCACTGGGTTCTGTCAGCATAATGTTATCACTGTAAGGGACCAGCATGATATCTTATTGAAGGGAAAGTCGATCAGGATTCCTTCAAATGAACTATGACATAGAGCTGGAGAATTAATATACTCCTGAGTTAGGACAATGGGAGTGTATTGTTGGCATTGCTAACTTAAGCAGATTGCATATGGTGGTCCTTATTGACACACTGGAAAATAAAGCATTTGTCTAATCAGTAGTTACATACCAGATACCAGGAGATAACTTACTTTATTTATGCAGTGAAACTGCATCTGGTATATACCACCTGGTTAAAGCTCTAACAATCCCCTGTAATTCTCTAAGAGTCATCTATCTTTTGTATAGGCCAAATAGGCAAGATGAATGAGGATGTGATGGGAATCACCACCTTGCATCTTTCAAGTCCTTGGTGATAACACTAATCTGTACAGTTACTCCAGGAATGTATTTACTATTTTCTCAGGTCGAAACAGTTGTAATAACTTCCACCTGGCCTTTCTGACCATAGTAGCCCTCACTCCAGAGATCAGGGAGCTAACATGGGAATTCTGCCAGCTTCTGTTTCAGTTATACATTCCGAAACTACAGAAATAACCATTAGATGGATTTGGAGCAACTGCCCTTTGAAGAAAGATCTGTGCTAAAACTCCCTTGTTAATTTGCCCTCCATAAGCCCCCACTTAGTTTGGTGATTGTCAGTGATGTTTTGAGTCAACTTTGCATTAGTGTCATTTTAGAGACAGTGTCCAAAAATCCCTGAAAAGCCTGATTATTTCCTTTCCCCCAGTGTGCAGTTATTGTGGCCAAAGGCCACAGTCTCTTTGGGGAAGCCAGTGGAAAGTCAGTTTCAGTCTGGTAGATACTGTAGAGTTCTCAGGCATCATTTGATGTTGATGAAAGTATCAGGGGATTTATCAACTTCTCAGTTTTTCTACGTATATGAGTACATGTTAGAAAAATGAGTCCTGAAGGTTTACCACTTAGGTGTTTATTAATGCTATGGTATAAATTTAGGCCATTAGCTGTATGTGATTGTAATTATTACAGTATGTAAGCTGTAAGTATTAGGAGGGTAGTTTCATCTCAGTTCAGTTCCGTCGCTCAGTCGTGTCTGACTCTTTGCGACCCCGTGAATTACAGCACTCCAGGCCTCGCTGTCCATCACCAACTCCTGGAGTTTACTCAAACTCATGTCTATCGAGTCGGTGATGCCATCCCACCATCTCCTCCTCTGTCGTCACCTTCTCCTCCTGTCCCCAATACCTCCCAGCATCAGGGTCATTTCCAATGAGTCAACTCTTTGCATGAGGTGGCGAAAGTATTGGAGTTTCAGCTTCAGCATCAGTCCTTCCAGTGAACACTCGAGACTGATTTCCTTTAGGATGGACAGGTTGGATCTCCTTGCAGTTCACGTTTCATCTAGCTGATGTAAACTGAAAGTAGTATATTCAACTCACGTAACTGACATTTTTGTAGTATTAAATATGCTCTCCCAGACTATGTTGTTACTACATTGTGTTTTTCTTGTGCCAAAGACTCGCCTCCTTTCTAACTTCTCTTACTTAAACGCCATTTGTTTCCCCACTCCTAACCTTCTGTTCAGGGCTTCCCTGCTGGCTCAGAGGTAAAGAATCCACCTGTCAGTGCAGGAGATACGGGTTCAATCCCTGTGTGCAGAATATCCCCTGGAGAAGGAAATGGCAACCCATTCCAGTATTGTTGCCTGGGAAATCCTATGGATAGAAGAATCTGGCACACTCCAGTCCGTAGGGTTACTAAAGAGTTGACCACGACTTAGCGACTAAACAACAATTCCCTTTTTTAAGTCCCTGCAGTAATATTCATTTCATGAATAATAAAATTCAACTTTCAACAAAGTCAATTAAGATACCACCATCCCCCACACCTTGATAAAGTCCCTACTTCTTTGGACTCATTCCTGTGATCATACTACACTGAGCATTTTCTTGTTTCTCTGAGAACCCCAGTTTGACTTTTATAACAGCAAAAATAAGACATGTGTCGGATCACATTATTCTTACTCTTTCTTGACTAATGAACAGTCAGGGGAAGATCATACCCTTTACATGGCAATTCTTGTTACACTGTAAACTTGCAGTGTGACAAGGTGTTGAAACACTTAAAAGATTTGGTTAATGGCCGTGTGGGTATTCAGAACATTGTTCCAGGAAATGGATATCAACATAATTATGATAGGCCCTGAAAATTTGCAACTATATACATATGGAAGAAGTTCAAATATGAAATACTTCAAAAAGTTCTTATTTGCATAGTCCACTTTTCAGCTATTTCCCTTTTCACAAGTGTTTGTACAGCTCCTGAAATTGTTGAGAAATGGGCTGTCTGTGGTTTTGACAGATGGCTAACTTGGCAAGCTTCAGCAATCTTCATTTTATCTTCCAACTACATAGAACCTTTCCAGTTTCCTCTGAGCAAGCCCTCAGCCTGTCTGTAGAAACTGCATGTTGAATTCACATCCCTATAGAGTCTTGGTGGTTTCTTTGTATAGAAGCAAAATTCAGAAATGAAAACATGGTGTAAAATAAATCTGTTCATGGAAATGCAAACCATAGTGATCATGTTGTGTTGCATACATATTCTATATGCTTGTTATATGTAGGTTATCTGCTGATATATGTATTTAATGTTTCTCAATTGTTGTTTCCAGTTTTAATTACATAATAATAAAATGACATATTCCTTTCTATGTTATATGGCTGGTCAAGGCTAGGTCTTGAAGAATTTGACTAATATGACCTGGACAGTCCTTAAGTTAGTAAAAATAAGATTGACTTTTAAACACATGATTTGATTCAGTTGACCATTGTTGATTCCCCTTGTACTACTTGTGTAAGTTTTTTTTATTTGCATAAGTTTTGATAGAGGCTTCCCTTGTACCTCTGCTGGCAAAGAATCCGCCTGCAATGCAGGAGATTCGAACCAGTTCGATTCCTGGGTTGGGAAGATCCCCTGGAGAAGGGAAAGGCTACCCAAATCCAGTACTGGTGCACTTCCCTTGTGGCTCAACTGGTAAAGAATCAACCTGCAATGCGGGAGACCTGGGTTCGATCCCTGGGTTGGGAAGATCCCAAGGAGAAGGCAAAGGCTATCCACTCCAGTATTCAGGCCTGGAGATTTCCGGGACTGTATAGTCCATCAGGTTGCAAAAAGAGTTGGACACGTCTGAGCAACTTTTAGTTTCAAGTTTTGATAGCTAGAGTTTACCTCATTGTAAAGACCAGTAATTTAGACTTGAAGAACAGCTATTGTTGTCTGTATTCCTATTTATTTTATTGTACAGTCATTTACTTCATACCCTTAGTGGAAAGAGATTATACTGAGAAAATGTTAAACAAGAGTGATGACAAAGATAGTAATGTCCTTCCCAGGGTTACTTGAAAATACAGATTTTCCTTTCGTATGGTTGAGTTGCCCAGTTAGAGTGTGATTCAGATTTATTGTGTTTCAAATTCTAGTTGAACTCAGTTACAGAGTTCTGAGTAAAGTTTCATGCTTATCTTCTTACCTGCAATCTAGGTCTCTACTTTTCTCTAATTTATGAGATTTTATTTAGGAAAAGGGTTTGTGAACATTTGAAAAATTATACTTTAAGTAACAAGTGTTCACAATAAATTTATTTCCTTGTATATAATATATTTGTCATAAACAGAGTACTATTTTTACTTTAGCTGATTACCCTGCCTGTATGTTGCAGGGAGGAAAGTTAATAGGGAAATGGTTATTGATTAATAGTACCACGTGATATTATTTTTAACAGAAATGAATTTTGGTGGTGTGGAAACTTATTTTTCAGGTTGAAGCACTCAATAAACTAAAAACTTTAAATAGTTTAATCAAACTGAATGCAATGAAGCTAAATAGAGCCAAAGGGAAAGAAGCGATGCACACATGTTTAAAACAGAATGCTTACCGTGAAGCGCTCTCTGACCTGCAGTCACCTCTGAACCCATGTGTTATCCTCTCAGAACTCTAGTAAGTGACCTTCTGTACTGTGCTTGGTGAACTTCCCTTTAGATAGCATTGCAGGAGGGATTTCCGAGTGACTGCTTAGGGGAGCAGTGAAGACAGCTGTTGGTAATTGGAATAAAATTAAAGAAGGAAACTCTTAATGTTCTCTAAAGTTATTCTCATGTTAATAGGATGTTTGCCTTCTAGCTAAATTTACCAGTGGGCTTAGTGGTAATTAATTTCCTTTCAGTTGTATGTAATTAAATTTGTTTTCTATATTACTGGTTTCTTAGAGTTGAAAGTCTTATGTAAGCAAAATGTTGGCAGCCATCATAGATTTTTTACTAATTAAACTTTCCTTCAAAATGAAATTTTTGAATGAACTTAGAAAATGATTTCTTATATTTACTTTTCTTTCAAAAGTAACAATGGGAAAGTAATAATTATGTTCAGTATATCAGGATTCAAAGTTGATCCTTCTTTAGGAAGTCACGAATGAACTCACAATCCAGTGTTATATTCTGATTGTTATTGTCCATGTATGATAACAAAAGTTAAAGAAGAATAAGGAAAGAAAAGGAGGAGCTTTAAATATAGTGGTGAGAAGGGCAAATCTGGATTTTCAGTTCAGCTCATTTGTCATCACTGCATGCTGACCAAGGCTAGTGTCACAGTTGCTTTTCTGCCAAGAGGAAATGTTCTAGTTCTGATTTCTGTAGACCTGAATGGAACAGGTGAGGGGTTTTCCCAGGCCTACTATATCATGGCAACATTACAGTCTTGCTATATATTTTAATTGAAGTGGGCTAATTTTTCCCTTTCTTCCTTTAAGTGTTGAGAAGTGTAAATACATGGATTCCAAAATGAAACCTTTGTGGCTTGTGTACAACAACAAGGTGTTTGGTGAGGATTCAGTTGGAGTGATTTTTAAAAATGGTGATGGTATGTATTGAGTTCTTTACAGTGCCAAATTCCTTAGTAGTTTTCATTTGTTGTCTGTTTGCTTTCTCTGAAAGGTGATGTGAAAATGTAGAACAAACACATGGCAGCCAATCGGTAGCTGTTAATGGTCGTCAAGTTGAACTTGACCTATGATAAACCCCCTTTTTTTCTCCTCTTAGAAGGTGATTTGTATAGCTTACCTACATTCTTTGTCCTAATAAACCTTCCCTTTCCCCTACAAAATACAAAGCTGTGTATTCCTTTGATTAAAAGCTTATCAAGTATAAGAGAATATTTTCAATATATTCATAGCTTTGTTTCACTGATAGCAATTTTGATAGTGCTGCCATAGTTTTATATTTTAATTAAAACATTTTACCCATATTTTATAAAAGAAATGCCTCTGAAGTAATCACACCAACCAGAAGGTAGTCATGATTGCCACCATTCATTAGTTTTGTGATTGCAGGCAAATCATGTGAAATTGATTGCGCTTCAGGTTCTTCCTGTCCATGAAGATTATATCTTCTCTGTGTTGGGTCTGTTAAATGGAATTAAGTGAACCTAACTGTATGTGCTTACAACTGTTTTTTAAAGAAATTTAAAATTCTGGGAAAAAAATGAACAGAACAGTTATTTTCCAGTGTTTTTTTCCAGCCAGTTAATTCTGGCTGAATTAGTTAATCTTAAGTTAATGTTATTAAACATAAAGTATAAAGCACTTATATAAGGGCTTTTCCCCCTTAGATTTACGGCAGGATATGTTGACACTCCAAATGCTGCGCTTGATGGATTTACTCTGGAAAGAAGCTGGTCTGGACCTTCGGTAAGATTTCTAGTGAATTTCTTTTTATCTCATGTTGTATTCCTTCCACGACAAAGTTTCAAAAACTTCTTGTTGATTTCTTCCTGATATTATTATTGGTTGTTGTTCATAGTCATATCCATATAATTCTTTATAGTTTACAACAATCCCTCAATACATTATCTTACTGAAACCTCATCAAGTGTAAAACTACACTTGTGACAGCAAGAGTGACATCCCAATCTGCGGTTTTGGAGGTGGTCTCAGGATAGACGCACTTGTGGTCGCGAGAGTGATAAGCCAGAGAAGGGCCTGCACCTCTTCTTTTTCAGCCTAGTAACCCTGATTCTTCTAACCTTCCTGAAAGGGAAGTCTTTAGGTGGACTTGCGGGGTTTTTTGCTTGCCACCACTGTGAGGGGTAAACAGTGAGCAGAACAGGTTTATGGTGATAAAGAAAAAGGAAACATAATGGATTTTTAAAGTTCAATTATTATAAATCTTTTAAGATAAAGAGCAGATAATTGCAAACACTGTTGATATGTTTAATTATATAAAAATACAAGGTTCAAGTGTCAACAAACCAAAGTCAAGCCTCACCCCAGGTGTTATATTCATAATGAACAGGACAGGGGGATAATAATTCTAAATATTAAAAGAGTCTATAAAAATAAATAAAAGGGAGAAGATGTGAAAAGGCTGTTCAAGTTATAAAATAAATAAGCTAATAATTATGCAAATACCATTAATTCTAAGGTAGAAGTTCAAGTTGAAAGAACAATTAGATACAATTGATTTCTTACCAAAAATTTTGTTAAATGAAATACAGTCTGGAGCACTGTTGCAGTAACAGAAACAAAAATATTGCCATATGCCATTGTAAATTAATATAAACCTCTCTGTATCACTTATTTATACTCTATATCCAATATTTCCATAATTTAATTTAAAATTAAAAATGTGAAAAGAGATTCATGCACAAAGGTACTCATTCTTGCTTTATTTATAGTAAAAAAAAAAAATTGGGCCACCCTTTTCAACGTTTGCTCATTAGTATAATGGTTTAAAAAATGAGCTTTCACATATGACGAAACATCTCAGGTATTTAAAAGTATTGTTTATAGAGAATTGCTATCAGTTTGGGGAAAGTACCTTCTTCAAACATCAAATGAAACAAGTGAGATGCAAAAAATATTTTAATAGAGTGATTTCAACCTTTTGAAAAACTTCCTGAAAAATGACACATATTTAAAAATGTTTACAGAAACTAAAATGGTATAATAGACATTACTTATGGGTCGTAGGTTTAAAGATGATACAATTCCCTCTGCCCTTGGTACACCTGGTTCTCTAGTTTTCTACAGTGTACTCCTTTTAAGGAGAGAAAAACATTAAACATATTTCATGATATAGGGCCATACAGTTAAAATGATTTTTCCATGCTAGTTATTAAGAACTTCATCTTTTACTTAATTCTTTGCTTTTTTAAACTGTGAGATATTTTAAACATGAAATATAGATGATAATTGACAATATTTTTGTGCTCTTAAACGAAGATTTGTGTAGCCATTTAATAGTTTAATGACAGATGTTAACATGTTTTCATATTTACTTTTTTAAAAGAGGAATTAAATATGCAAATAAAATTGATGCATTCTTATGATCTTCTCCTTTCTCACAACTCAGGATTTACCATTCTAAACTGTAATACATGTATGTTTGTGCTTTAACTATATATTATATATCCATTGAATGTTTTGAACTTCCAATAAATAACTGTTGTATCACATGTAATTTTTTGCAGTTTACTTTTATTACATGTTTTGAGATTTACCAAGTTTAATATGTAGAGTTCTAATTTATTTTCACTTCTGTATTAATGTTTTGAGTAAATGCAAAAATTTATCCATTCCCCTATTAGTAGCTATTTGTGTTCATTTGAACCTAAAGTTTGTACACTTCTCTTTACTTACATTTGGAAGAGTTCTTTATATAGCCAGAAGTGGAATTGCTGGGTCATAAAGCACGTACACCTTCAGCCTTACCACTGTTGCCCACATGGCTTCCAGAATGTTTATACCAGTGTTACGTTTCTCCCCAGAAATATCTCCTTGCCAATCAGACTTGTTTGTTTTTTGCAAATCTAGTGGATATCACATGGTGTCTCATAGAGTTTTAATTGGCATTTCTTTGGTTGAATAATTTTTCGGTGTTTATAATTAGTGTGTTTTCTCTCTGTTGTGAATTACCTAGGTTACTTTAAGGTTTATGCTTTTTGTATTATTTTTAAAAAATCCTTCACTGTGCAGTTATCTTAAAGATGTTATCTTCTATTTTCTGAATTTTAAACTTGACTTATTTTTTATCTCTGCAAAAGTTTAGTCCTAGTATTGACTTTTTTGGGACTTAGGTTTTTTTGACTATTCTTCTTGAGTCCCTTTTGAGGCTAAAAGTTGTCTATTTCTTCATTGTTTTTTAAATTTATTACTGTACTATTTATAATATATTCTTGTAATTTTCCAACTTCTGCTGTGTTTAATTTTTTCTCCTTCTACATTTGTAAAATTATTTTGTATGCAGTATATTAGTCTTCTCTAGATTAGTCTTAGAGGTTTGCATCTTAGTATTTTTAAAGAATGGGCTTCTAATTTTTCTGTTTTTATCATTGATTTCATCTTTATAGTTTCCTTCCTTTTGCTTGTGTTAATTCTGTTTCAGATTTTTTGAAACAGTACATTGTATGTGTTAGTCGCTCAGTCATGTCTGACTCTTTGTGACCTCATGGACTTCAGCCTGCCAGGCTCCTCTGTCCATGGAATTCTCCAGGCAAAAATACTGGAGTGGATTGCCATTCCCTTCTCCAGAGGATCTTCCCAACCCAGGGATCAAACCCTGGTCTCCTGCATCGTGAGCAGATTCTTTACCATTTGAACTATAGGGACATTAATTTCCTTTTTTTAAAACCATACATATATTTCTTCTAACTGCCTTAACTGCTTCCCATAAATTTTTTTCCCTTAAGTTTTAAAATATACTTATTTGTGCTTTTTTATAATGCATCTCACTATATAGAATTTACTTCTAAATGTTTTATTATTTCCATTTTTATTTCTTCAAGTCCTGAACTAGTTTAAATTATTTGGACTCCCAAATTACATTGAACTTTTTTGTTGTTGGTGTCTCTATGATGTCTTAATTTTATTGTACCTGACTACTGTCAGATTTTGTGGTCTGTGTAAGATTAATGTCATATTTCTAAAGATTATTTATGTATTACCATAAGCCCAGTTTTTCTAACTATCACATTGAGTGTGATATTCATTGATTGAAAATATTTCAGATGCTGTAGTTATTAACTGTAAGATCATAAACTGGTCTGTTATATCAAATTTGTTGATTATGCCCAGATCTCTATTCTCATTAAAGTTTTACTTGTTTGTCACTTCAGAGTTATGTTAAAACCTGCCCTTATAATTGGTATTTGTGAGTTTCTAGCTTGCAATTTTGTTAATTTTCTAATTGTGATTTTAATTTGCCTTTTCCTAATGACTAATAATGTTGGCCAGATTTTCATGTGCTTGTCAGTCATTTGTATATCTTATTTGGAGACATACCTATTCAAGTTTTTTGTTAATTTTTGAATTGGGTTATTATATTTGTCTTTTGAGTTATGAGTTTCTTATGTATTTTAGATACTAGACTCCCTAGTGGATACATTACTGGCAAATATTTTCTCCCATTCTGTGGGTTTGTTCACTTTCATGATAGTGTCCTTAGATGCACAAAATATTTACTTTGATGCAGTTCAGTTTATCTATTTTTCCCTTTAGTTTCTTGTGTTTTTGGTGTCAGGTCTGAGAAATCATTATCTAATCCAGTGTCATGAAGATTTACACCTATGCTTTCTTCGGAAAATTTTAGTTTAGCACTTATCTAGGAGGTCATTAATCCACTTTTAGTTAATATTTTTGTATGGTCTGTGGTAGGAGTCCAGTTTTGTTTTTTTGTGTGTGTTGGTATCTAGTTGTCACAGCACCATTGTTGAAAAGATTGTTCTTCATTGATTTATCTTGGCGCTTGTGTCAAACATGAATTGACTATAAATGTGAGGGAATTTTCCTAGAATCTAAATTCTATTTCATTGACCTATATATCTTATTTCTATACATAGTCTTGATTAATTTGTAGTAAGTTTTGAAATTGGGAATTGTCTGCCTATATTCTCTTGTAGGAGTTCTGTGGTTTCATGTCTTACATTTAGATCTTTAATCCATTTTGAGTTTATTTTTGTATATGATGTTAGAAGATAGTGTTTTCATTCTTTATATGTAG